TGTAAGGGGCTGGCCCCTAGGCTTGTTCAGCGTAGAGGTGCCGTCGATTGACTATTCTAAGCTGAAGAAGGAAGAAAGGACTTTACAAGGGTAGGCACCTAACAGCGGTGAAGCAGGCCGCGTTAGGCGGCGTACTGCGGCAGAATAATGGGTCCAACGGAGCCGGATCTCGGTAACTGCTCCGGCGAAGCCGGAGATATCAATCCGGGCTCCAGCCCGTGACACTTGACGCTCTGAAAACTATATCCCGACGATGTCTGCGATGACTCGCTATACTTGCTTATCATCAATGGGAGAGAAATTATAGTCAGGCCGCCTTTGACATCATGCTGTGAATGAGATGCACTAGGTGAGATCGCGGACGGGTCAAGCGGGTCACACATACCGGTGTTAAGACCGGAGGCGGAAGAGCAGACCCATTTATGCGGACCGGCTCCTCCGGCGTCTCTCGTGGAATCTCAAGGAAGACTGACGGCATTGTAATTCGTCAAAAAACAGTTGCATGCCAACGCTCTTTTGATATCAATTATCGGGATGCATGGGCTCGATCACATTTGTCGCATGCCGGGACCACATTTAGTGATAAATTACGTGACGGACATGGGTTCCCAAAAAGGAAGTGCGTTTGTCCGACTTTCTTATTGGCTGCTCAAATCTGTAGATTGAAGAGTTCTAAAGCTATGATTGGTCAGAACTTGGAAGGATCACAACCCTTGATCGCCGAGCTCCCTAGTCCTCGGGATCCTCCGTCTCTAATTCTCTGTTGCCTGTTGGCGAGAGGGTCATTTCAGGGGCATTTGACGAAGCTTGATTCCTTCTTGATATGCCAATTCCAGCTCTCAGACCACCACACTCGTTGGAGCTCTTCGGCTGCATTCCTTCTTCCTCTCGTATTCGCATGCTACTCGTTTACGTTTGTCTTTGGGGCATCTCGTGTCGTACTAGCGCCTGATTCAGTGTATTGTATCTTGACAGAATGGATGCGAGTTCCGCATCTACGAAGGGTAGCGACAGCGGAAGCTCGTCTAGAACCCAATCGCGGAGCCCTACAGGCCCAGATGAACGGTACGTACGGGTTGGTGCAGGTAGAGTCGAGCGCTGTGATGTGTCAATGCTAAGGACGGTCCGAACTGGGAAGGATCGGTCCCGGCGTCTTGGTTCACATGCAGACTGGTCCGATGGTGGCACAAGTCTGTCTCAGTCGGGATAAATGAGCTGCATGGTGCTTGCAGTTCCACGCTGACTTGAGAGGAAACCAATAGGCCCCCGAAAAATGGTCAAATCATGGCGTTCTCGGTTGCCAATCGCCCGAAGCTGAGTCGAGCCAGCGCCCCGAAAAGCCGTACCGGATGTCGAGAATGCAGGTATGTATGGATATGATACTTGCAAGACCCCATTCTCCCCATTCCCCTGGGGTCTCCATCCTACGAAATCCCTTGTACTCATACAACGGCCCAGGCGGCGCCACGTCAAGTGCGATCAAGCTAGGCCATTCTGCATGAAATGTGTCAAGTCCGGACGCGAGTGTCCTGGCTACCTAGACTCAACGTCCCGCACTCTGCTGCCGTCGAAACAGGCACGGATTGTCTCCCGTAGCCACAATTTCTCCACCACCGATACCCGTTTATTCAAGATCCCTGGCTATGAAACAATGCTATTTGGCCAGCAGAAGGACTGGGAGGCTTTCCAGTCATTTGCTTTCAGTGTCGAGTCGGGAGACACGCTCCTCATCGATGATGCTTCAATCATGACTCCCAAGTTCGCCCAAAGCGCAGCGGAGACTAGTGGTGTCCGTCAAATCTGTTGCGCTGTGGGTGCGCTTGGGAGGTCCTTCCAGTCGATGACCCTGGAAGATTACATCAGTGAGGAGTACCAGGCGGCCTTGGAGCATTATGGTCGCGGGGTCCGCGCAATATACCGACTGAAGTCTTCGAAGACCACCTTGCCCAGCGCCATTCTAGCGTCGATGCTTTTCACGACTTTCGAGTTCATGGCTGGCAGCACAGTCAACGCCGCCAAACACCACAACCACGCTGTTGCCATGATGTACCAATATGTTGATTTGTTGATCGAGGAGCAGGGTCTTCCCCTTGAGGAGCTTAGACTCTCGGATATGGACAAGGCCATGTTCGATTCTCTAGAGCGACACGATACATCCCCCTGGATCGAATCATTAAGCAAGGCAGGTCATGTCAAAATATTGTGCCCAGCACGACGGTTTCCTCATGGGTGTCGACACCGACTCAGCATGAGCAAAATTCCCGACCGCTTCAACAGCACTCAGCAGGCTTTTACCTGGTGGAACTTCGTGCAACACATGATGGCCCATTCGCTCCACCCTCTCAAGATTTCCGGGGACGGGGTCCGACGAGTCAGCGAGGCTACGAAGGCTGCTGCGTACAACGAATGCGACGACTTCCTTCACTCGTGGCGCACCGCTTTCACGCCGCTTTTGCAACACGCCAAAGAACACAGAATCACCCATGGCTCCCGATGGTCGCGGGCGATGATTCTTGAGACCATGTATCTCGAGACCATCTCAGAGCTGCACGCCCGCCACAAGACACACGCAAACATGCTGCCGGCGGTGAAGCCACTTTACCTAGATCTCATCCGCAGCATGATGCAGCTTGCCCGGGAGAAGCCCCTCAACGGCCCCGCCACGATTGGGCTTGAGAACTCCATCATCCGCCCCATAGGCTTTGCACTGGTTAGATGTCAAGACCCGGAAGTTGTGCAAGAGGCAACGACTGCTTTGGAAGCTATCGTAGGCGGTGTGAACATGTCCTGGACGTTGGTTTACCTGCTGAAAAGCCGCAACAAGACGAAGCCGATGGTAACACTTGAGCGTTCGTGGGGATGGTATTTCACTGCGACAGGATGCAGTTCTGGTGCACATGTTTTCGACGGCATACCCTAGTTAGTTTCTGGCGGTTGCTGTTGAACAGGGTCGCCCCAGAATGGTTAGTGCAAGGAGCAGGGGCTGTACATGTATATAGAAAGGGCATTGCCCATCCTCATCAGACCTCTGCTGGTGAAGCATTTTTTTCGTCTAGAACCCATATCTCACTATTCAACAATTACGCGTAGGTAGATTCTGAAGAGGCATCAACCTATCATTTCTGAAGACCTTCTGCGGTTAGAGTAATGTTATTAGAAGAGCCCTATATTGTCAGATAATATTAACATTCCGACCACTGATCTTTTTGCTTTTATGTCTCTCTACTTATGTATCCAAACTGCTAGACCGAAATGACTGAGGGCAACGAGGGATGGCGGAGGGCAGGGTCGCGATGCATCCCAGCCGACCACTGGATCAACGTCATTAACCCCCACAGATACCAGCCACCCGGAGACCCAGCTACCCCGCGCATCCTCGCACCATGCGGACAGCACCCGATACCAACACAAGTTAACCATTCTGCAGCCGGCTGATGGTTTGCAAGGATACGGATACTGATAGCGGAGTTTACATGATAAGACTTTATTTCCTGCTGTGGCTTCGAAGCAAAGTGAACTATGGCCCAGAAGCATCGGAGACAAAATCAACGCATTTGTAATGCCAAGCTTAGATCCGCGGGCAATGGTACACCGCCATCCTAGCCTTCGGCGGTGCTGGCCGAGATAACGAGGTGGGGTCCTTATCCAGTCTCGCCGTGAAGGAATTCAGGCCTACGAGCTTCACTGCAGGCTCGATGGCCGATGTATGCTTCGTTACATGCGGAGAGGATCCTCTATCAAGCTTGCAGTTACAGCTATGATTATTCATGAAGAACGCCACAGGATTTTCCGACTTGTGACATATAAATAAAGACGACATGTGGTCTGTGACACGGTACCGAAGACGCTTTCACAGTCGTGACATCGCACAAACACCACTTCCTGTGCCAAGATATCATCATATACCATCATGATGTTTCTTCGATACTGTTGGGTTCTCCTATCATTGGCCGTTATTTCGTGCGCCTCTCCTATCTCTCGTGCAGATGTAACTCAAAACGACTGGGACCTGGAGTGGATCTCGACCAACTCATCGTTACCCAAGGTCGTGTGAGTACAGCAAAGGCTTGGATATGTCTTCCTCTTGACTGACAACGACATGCAGAATTTACAGCGCCGGTGGAACCATCCTGTCAGCCTCAAACTACAGTCGTCTTGACAACATCGCCTACGGCTCGGGCAATCCTCCCACCCCCGAGGATCTGATTGGCAATATCACCGAGGTCCTCGACGTCGCCCAGCTTGCGATTGTGAGGTTCCCAGCATCAGGCGGAAGCGCGGGCCTCAATTCTTCGCTGTACTTGAACATCAGCCAATACGCCAACAAACAGCTCTGTTCTGAGGGGAGCGATATCGCTGGTGCCATCATGTTCCACGGGACGAACACATTAGAGGAGACAGTGGGTTGATGGTTTGGAATGGGCAAAGAATCAGAAGACTAACTCGAGTGAAGGCCTTCGGCGTAGACTTGACCTTCAACTGCTCCAAGCCATTCGTAGCGACAGGCGCCATGCGTCCCGACACATATATATCTCCTGATGGACGGTCCAACTTTTACCAGGCTGTCGCTGCCGCTGCCTCACCTGCTTCGCGAAACCGCGGTGGACTTATTGCTTTCAATGACAGGTAAGAAGTGTAGAAGCGTTCATGAAGATATCCATATGATATATCTGACCTTCTTAGAATTACGTCCATCTACTACTCAACCAAGGTCAACGCCAACACTCCCGACACCTTCCACGCTCTCGAGCAAGGAAACCTTGGTGCCTTCCTCGCCGGACAGCCATACTATTTCTTCGACGCGGCATACCCCACCGGCCGTCCCTATTTTGACGTCAGCAACACGACCGAGCTGCCTGCTGTCATCATTGTCTACGGCCACCGTATGTATTCCCCCATTAAAACCAGCAGAATGATCGTTCCGCACTGACAACGTCCCAGAGGGCTTCGATGCCTCGTTGATGTACGCCGCTGTCCAAAACGGGGCAAAGTAAGCCGATCACTTTTTGCAGAACCCCCTCCACCGCCGATGCTAATCTTTGAACAGGGGTTTGGTGATCCTGGGGCCCGGAGCGGCTTCCGTCAGTCCTAGCGCCAGAGCTGCGGCTGCCGATCTCTATGAGCAAGGGATACCCACCGTTGCCGTCGCCCGCCCGGTTACCGGCTCCGGCGTGCCCAGTCCTATTCCCGGGGCTCTGTGAGTCGACCTTCCATGTCTTCTTCCTCTCCCACGAAGAGCCTCATCACACTCACCTCCTTGACCGCTGGCTGATTGTTGTCGTAGCATTTACTCAAGTTATGTCGGGGCCGACCAGGCTCGCATCATGCTTCAGCTTGCCATCAACGCTGGCTACAGCCTCGATCAGATTCGCGACCTTTTTGAAAGTCCGCTCAGGAACGCGGTCTATGGATCACCAGCCAGTCAGAAATACTACTATTTATCCTAATATCATGCTGCATAAACAGGCACCAGGCAGGTTTACTCTAAATCATCAAGAACAGTTTTACGAAGACACAGAACTAGCACATGATGGGAGACTCATTAGGTTTTGATATACTATCTCCAATCGTATAATAACAAGCTCGCTATCATACACACATTGAAACGTGGCCCAGATCTCCAGTGAAAATTAAGGTGAAGCAAGCTAATGCTTCTTGGTGTGGTTTTCCAAATTCATCGCGTATGTACAAATCATCGTCATGACGGCGTTCTCGCTTAGAGAGCAGCAAGGACCAGGCCGACGACACCGACGGCGCCGAGGACGCCGGTGTTCTTGGAAGCGCCGGCGAAGACGGGGCTGCTGGGGGTGGCAGTTCCGGAGGGCTAAAAGGCAGAGAGAGACCACGTTAACACAGATTCCCATCACAACAGAGACCAGGCCCAGGCGACACATACAATGACGACGGAGGTACCGATGGAAGTGACGCGGGTAGCGGTGGCGGTGGAGGTACCGGCGGCACCGGTGCCGGAGGCGGAGGGGGTGGCAGCGCCGGAGGAGGCGGCAGAGCTGGCGGCGGTGGTCAGGGTGGTGGCGGGAGCGGCGGCAGAGGTGGCAGCAGGGGCGGAAGAGGACTCCTCAGCGGGAGGGGCGGCAGCGGAGGAAGAGGCGGCAGCGGTGGTAGGGGCGGCAGCGGTGGTAGGGGCGGGCTCGGCGGCAGTAGACGGAGCCGGGGCGGCGCTGGTGGCAGCGGCAGTGGTGGCGGCGGCGCCGGAGGGGCTGGGAGTGGGAGACAGGCCGCACTTCTCGGCGGCGGTGGTCACGCCGTTGCGGTAGTAGATCCAGATGCCGAAGTTGTTGGCGCAGGCCATGCAGGCGTCGTAGCGGGTGTTCCACTCGGCGTTGTCGCAGAAGCCGTCGGTACGGCCGAGGGTGATGAGAAGACCTATGTCAGGTGGTGTTAGACGCCAAATCTCGTGATATAGCTGCCATTGTGCCTCAGTTGAGACCCCAATGATGACTTGTTCTTACCGCAGTTCTCGTGGCAGGCGTAGGCGGGAGTGCCAGGGTCCTGACGGCGCATGATAGCGGGAACGGCCTCAGGGTACTCCCAGCGAGCCTGGATGGAGGCAGAAGCCAGGGAGGCGACGGAGGCCAGGACGGTGCAGGTAACGAATGAACGCATCTTGAAGGCTATTAGGAAGCTTGTAAGGCTAAAGGTTGAGGATGCCGAGGAAGATGCTTTGAGGACTGGAAGGGGAATTGTCTTGGAAATGCCAATCAGCTAATTAAGAACGAGCGTGAGGAGGAAGAGGAGACAAGCCGGACCAAGAGACGGTTGGGAAGAGCCTATTATATGCATACTGCCCTTGGCTTTTCGTATTCCCAGGAACCACGCGTCAGTCTAGACTGCGAGCCGGGTTCGTGTGTGTGTATCCGTCATGGGAACTCCCAGCTTCGCAGTCTTGGCTCAGCTCCATCATCCAGCTCGCGGAGACAGGGGGATGAACTAACTCGCGCGCATGTGGATTTGCCAAAAGACAAAGGGCAATCCGGCGTGAGCAAGGTGAGCAAGTTGGGATCTGGCGTGCTCGGATTTGCCCCGGATCGCCGACCCGACATGACTGGGCCCGGCGCGCTTGGGAGTGCAATCTCGTGCGGGATGCCGAAAAGCTCGTACCAACGATGGAAAATCAAGAACGAGATCCATGTCGGAGAGGAGGGGAGGGGGCGTGGCACAGGTACCCGCCGAACCAACGCAACTCTAAGTGTACGCAGTACTTACATGGTACGGCTGCTACCTTAACCAGCTGGCGATGCCGAGGACATGACTAAAGTCTTGATTAGTGTGCTATGCAAGAGAAGCAGACGAGTGAAGAGGAGGAGGAAGACTGGTTGGCAGTGGTTTGTTGCCAGACTAATGATCCATGATCCGCTCCGCTCTCGCGCGCGCGCAGTTGCAGCTTGCAGTAGGCAAGGTAGCAACAACAAACTCACATCATGTTCCTGTGCCGCCGCCGCCCCTCTCATCCTCCACCCCGCCCTCTTTGTCGACCTGTCGGGAAACGGTGACCTGATGCCAAGTGCTGAAAACATTCGGTTGGCCGGTAAGGATGCTTCTCGCCTTCCCGAAAAGGGCTCTTCTTTCCGGTGCGTGTGTCTGGATTCACCGATATCGTCGGGCCCAGCTCTCGGCCCAGAACCAGGGGTCGCCCATGGCCACAGCGATTATCTGATGGACGATGACTGTCCGTGGCGTGAGGGGGGCACTTTTTCTCGCTTCGTTCGGCGGGATGGGTTAAACTACCCTCCCCCCTTGTTCTTTTGTGGGCGAGGTCGGACTGAGTTCTGGCTGAATGGCTGGCTGGAAGGAGGAGGAGGAGACGCCAGCCCCCCCTTGTCGGTGGAGAAAGGGTTTAAGGTACGATTAAATGGAGCGGAGCACCGGGCACTGGACACACACAGGATCTCGACCTTGTGATGCATCTAATCTTATCAATCACATCAGTGGGAAAGCCATCGGCGAAGAGGACGGACGTTCCCTGTTTGGGCGATATTGGCGCTGCCGCCAAGAGGCACGGCGGGCCGCATGGCAGCACTTGATTGGACGGAGCGATCTGATAAACTGCACTCTGAAAATTGTTTTTATTTAATTGTATTTTTTATCCCTCGTTCCCCTCTTCGAATGTTGCGCATCTCACCACTCAAGAGTCAAGACTCACAACCCGGAACCCTGTCGCTTCTCCATGACTCCCACGCTACTCTGCAACGCGTTGCCTTTTTGCCAAGTAACGCTTATCCGATGCTGGCCCTTTGCCCACCAGTCTATTGCAGAAAAGACTGGACAAACAAACAGAGAGGGGAGAAAGAGAGAGAGACGTTAGATTGAACCGGCCGGCCCCTTCGGCGGCCGAAAACTTCGTATTTGCCGCCGATGCCTGTCCCCAGTTCTCCTCTGCAATGCTGCCGAACCGCTCCTCCAAAGGTCCCTTTGGATCTTGCTGGGTCCTGTCATCCTGTGAACCTCACGGTACATTTCCAAGACTTTCCAAGAACCTGTCGCCACCTGCACCACCACCCAGACCATGCATCACCCAACGAGATTCGGCGCACTTGGCCAGAGGAGCCCACGTTCTGGGCCGCACTTCTGTAGTCCTGTGCGTGTGGACGGACGGTTCGAGTTTTTCCCTCATTGCTTTTTGAGCGTTGTCTATTCTGCACATGTGCAAAGCGGAGGTGGTTGGATCGAGGTTGGCGTGCGCGGGGCGGGAACATGTACACACACACACACACATGCAGCCCTCGAAGAGGCAGTCTCCGTACATCAGAAAGGTAAACTGGGTAAACCGGGTAGGCACTTGCAGCAGTAGTATAACTTGAACGCATTGCCGCCATCCGGTTCGTGTTCCCAAGGATGCACACCCCTTAATTCTTAATTTCCATCGCTCATCTCCCCGATCCCAGTCCAGTCTCTTGGTCTGAAGTTGTGGCTTTGCATCTCTTGGGGTTCTGCCGGGTATCCGACTTGCAATCGTTTTCATCGACTTGTCGAAATGCACTCCTCGCTGAAGACCTTCTTGGCCCTCGGGCTGGCGTCTGTCGCCTACGCCCAGGACAATGTCATGGATGACGACATGGGGTGAGTCGGACGCCGAGGAACTGCGGTGTTAGTGACGTTGACTGACTTTGTCTCGTAGCCCTGCTGCTTTCATGTGGCCCGCCGACAGAGTATGGAGCGGCGATATGGACAACCAGGCCCCTTGCGGCTCCAAGTCTGGCGTTGAGAACAGAACCGAGTTCCCTCTTGGTGAGTTGCGATGACTTCAATCTCAACTGCTCATGTCTGACATAAACTCTGCCAGTGAACGGACAGGTTGCCCTCGTTGCTCAGGATGACTACTACAACACCAAGATCTCCATTTCCTACAAGAACGGTATGTTAACCCTAACCCCCTAACCCAGATTTTGACACTTCTTGTACAACCAACTTGTGTAAACTGCATTCTGCAACAACAACATACTTACTCGTTCCCCCAGACCCTACCTCCAACAGCGACTTTGAAACTCTCATCGAAAACCAGAGCGTCGCCGACCTGAACCCCGGCCACACCTGCGTCAACATCGCCAACCCGCCCAGCTCCGTCACCGCCGGCAGCAACGCCACCCTCCAGATCATCTACAAGGCCGACTGGGACGCCCCGCACAACCAGACCTTCTACGCCTGCGCCGACATCACCTACGTCGAGCTCGCCAACTTCAACACCCGCATCCCCTGCTTCAACGCCACCGAGCCCGGCGAGGACGACCTCAAGGCCACCGCCTCCCCGTCCGCCTCGTCCACCAACTCCGCCTCCAACAGCGGCTCCGGCTCTTCGTCCTCCGGCTCTTCGTCCTCCGGCAGCAAGAAGCTTTCCGGCGGCGCCATCGCCGGTATCGTCATCGGTGCCGTCGCGGGCGTCGGCCTGCTCCTCGGCGCCGCGTTGTTCTTCTACCGCCGCAGCCAGCAGAAGAAGCGCAACTCCCGCCTTGCGCGCATGGAGGACAACGCGAGGAACTCGGAGCACTGGAACGCCGCCAAGGACTCAACTTCGCAGAACAGCGTCCAGCTTAACAATATCCGATGAGCAAGGCTCTGAGGCAAGGGGTGCGGCATGGCTTCAGGTACATAGGACTGTTGGTGATGGTGGAGGGAAGGGGTGGATGGCTGGGTTGGATGTCATGATTTATGGACTTTTGGTTGGACGATGTGTTTATGTGCGACGAGATGATATCCAGTTCTTAGTTTAGCAATGAGTTTATGGTTGATGGTTATCTGTGCTCGCCCAAGTCCAAATGTGCTCGGTGCTTCCAACGACGTATCACTCATCAGTGTGCCAATTCGATGTTTGCCAACAACCTAACAGCCACCTTACTCAAGCCATCCTAAATAAGCGCTGTATCCTCAGTGGTTGACAGACAATCGACAGATGGAAGTGCTCCCGAACGGGGTTGACACTGTGCTCCGAGATACCGAGGGCCATGCCTCGGAGACCGAGATGGCTCGCCAGGCCCACAGTCTTGGTCGCAGCATCAGATAGCGAATAGCAGGTGAATCTCTCTGTTCAAATTTGACCGATTGCTGATAAATGCTATGGTAAATCACATTGCTTGGGTATGATGTTGTAAAGATCTTCTATATGCGTCTCACTCATCTCCGCCTCTGGCCAGAGGAGTTGTCTCGTCTTCTTCGACAGCGCTCTCCTTCTGGTCAGACTCCATAGAACCGTACCTAGCAAGAATTAGCATGAAAGCTTCAGTGATGGAAAAGGAGACTGATTCGTTAAACTCACCATGAAATAACGGCCAGGCCCAGGAAGGCGGCGATAACGCTGAAAAACATGGCAACATAGCCCTTGGCCGTGAATCCTTCAGGCAGGGGCCCGGCAGGCTTGTTCTCACCCTTCAGGTCAAAGAAATTCTTGGTATTGCCTGCGGCGTTGCCTTTGGTGGGAACTCCACCCGCACGACACGCCTCCAGGTGTCCCTCAGGGATCTTCTGCCCCTGGAGCGCCTCGGGCGCCTCGATGATGGTGGCGACAAGACCCTGGTCCATGTGCCACTCAATATGGCAGTGGAAGAGCCACACGCCCGGGTTGTTAGCCTTGAAGCGGATCACAAAGTTGCCGTTGCCCTCGACGACGAGGGTGTCTCGGCGCATCGGGTACTTTGGGAAGCTGATGCTGCTGTCGTTTGCGTACGCGCCGGCGTCCTCGTCGGAGCGGTGGACGACTTGGAACTGGTGGCCGTGGAGGTGGAAGGGGTGCTTGCCGTCGTCCTCGTTGTTGAGGACGATCTCGATCACCTCGTTGTGCTTGAGGACCTGCGTGTTGGTGTAGGTACCGTAGACGCGGGGGTCCAGGGCGTTCTTCTCTCCGACGGTGAGGGCGGTGTACAAGGACGGGACCTTGGGGGCGACGTAGGTCTTGTCGTTGAAGAAGGCGCTTGTGCATGTTAGTCATTGTACTGTCACAACATTCGACGGGAGACATACTAGTTAGCGCCGTCAACCAGATTATCCATCTTGACGGTGAAGCTGAAGGAGTAATCGACCTTGTCATAGAGCTCGCGATGGTCGACGGGTACCAGATCAACATCATCAAAAGCGGCCTCAAAATCGTCTACGGTCGCGGGCTCAGGCAGGGGCTTCTTCTCATCGTAGACGAGCCAGCCGGTGACGTTGGAGTTCTGTTCGTCGGGAATGACATCGAACAACTCCTCGTCCATGGAGCCGACGATGGCGAAGTTTTGCGATGCATCCTTCTTGGTGGTGAGAAGAACGCTGTAGCGCTGCGCCGGGGTGATGTAGAGCATGTCGGCATCGGCCTCCTCAGTCCAGACGCCGTCAACCTCAACAACACGCATCTGGTGGCCCTCGAACCAGATGTACTGAGATGCAAAGGCACCGACGTTGACCAGGCGGATGAGGTAGGTCTTGCCGGGCTGGACCTTGACCTGCAGGTTTTGGGTATCGTTCATGAGAGCCGAGTTGGGGACGGGCTCGGCGCCGGTGGGGTTCTCGACGCTGATGAGCTCCTTGATGAGATATCTCGTCGACTGGTGATACCAATCCGACAGGGTGATGACGAGTTCCTCGTCATACTTTCCCTCGTAAGGGCCCTCGGGGTCGTGGATGACAACGGGGCCACGCAGACCTTCGGGATACTGGCCATCGTTGTGGGCGTGGTACCAGTATGTGCCTGATTGATCAAACTGAGAAGATGTGTGAGCCTCATGTAATGGCCATGTGAGTGTATAAGTTGGGTCTCTCACCTTGAAATCATATGTAAGAGACTTTCCTGGAGGAATGGCGCACTGGGTGACGCCGACAGCGCCGTCCATGTAGTTTGTGCCATTTTGGAACAGACCGTGGAAGTGCAGGCTGGTGCTCTCAACACCGAGCTGGTTGTTGACGTTGAGAACGAGCCTGTCACCTTTTGTGGCCTCGATGAGTGGCAGCGGCCATTGTCCGTTAACGCCGATGGTGGGCTTGTCGAACTGGCCGTCGGGGTTGGAAGTCACCCATGTGATGTTCCAGTCGAGGTTGATGGTCTTTGCCAGGGCTGGCGTCGCGAATAGCATCAAGGCTGTGAGGCGAGCCATGAGGGGCGAACTTGGCGATGAAAAGGCCATGGCGGCCGTGAGCATCAAATTGGGGTTGCGATGTGCTGTGCTCGCTCGGTGGTGGGCGAAGTTACCAAGTCTATGACTCAAGACTCAACACAAGCTTTCAGTTGCCAGACTCTCTCTCTGTGTGTGTCTCCCTTGTGTCGGTCGCTGTCTCACCGGGCCAAACGTCGTCGTCGTCGTCGACCAGAGTGTTGGTATCGCTATTTCAAAACGTCGTGGTTCCGCAAAGGCTTCATCGAACCGGGCCGAGCACGGAGAACATGGCCTTCTTCCAGTGTGGCTGCTTTACGAATAGAGGGACCTAAAGGGAAGGGGGGAAGTCGCAAGCGAGACACACGTGAAAAAGGGTCGCCTGATGGAAAATTGCATGCGTCTTGGCGGCCTGGATCTGATAAGGGAAAGCTCCCCTCAAGAAAAGCGAAAAAGGCCCACCCCGGTGGGGTTTATCTGATCCGCCGCCGCCTGAAAATCAAACACGCAGCAGCCAGCCCACCCCTTCCGCCGGGACGAACCTGTCATCGACCTGCCAGCAGCACAACACCTAAGGTACCTTAGGTATGCTGGACAGTACTGCCGATTCGCTCCGTCTTTGACGCTAGCCGACATCGCTGGACACCCCGGTCCTCGAAAAAGCGAGGAAAAACCTTTCGGTCTCCGCGCCCGTCGCCCGTCACGCGACAGACTTTGGCCGACAATCCTTCACGCTGGTTGGGACGGGATTGTTCCAGCGTGAAATTTCACAGTGAGAGCCCTGTATCCATCGGCATCCATCCACCCTGGCCACCACACGCATTTCGAAAAGAGCCGCCCCGGCCGCTGTCGCAGCATCTCATCCATCTGCATCTCCGCTCTGCCCTGTGCTGTGCTGTGCTGTGGTGACTGTCGCATCCATCATCCCTCGTCGAGCCTCTCTCTCTTCTTTCGATATACCGCAGCCGAGAAGCCTGTCGTCTGCGATGCTTCCAGACTCTCTTGCGCCGTAGACACACTCCCCTCCCTCGTCGAGTCAAGCCTGCCCAGGACCAACAGCGCAGCCAGAGCCCCTTAAGTTCCAGCCGCCCGAACTCTCTCAGCTGACGCTCAGCCGCTCGCGCGCCTAGCACCACCACCATTCGCCCCCAGTCGCCACCACTCACCCACCATCTGCAATCTTCAGCCTCACCCGTAGAACATCTCAAAACAACACACAAGATGGAGGACCTATTTTCACTGCCCAGTAAGCTTGATGAGACGATTCTCATTCAGACGTAGTCGCTGACCCCCCCAGTCTTCTTCATCACCTTCCGCGAGTCCCTTGAGACCGCCATCATCGTCTCGGTCCTGCTCGCCTTCATCAAGCGCACTTTGGCAACTCAAGATGACCCCGTTCTCTATCAAAAGATGGTGCAGCAGGTGAGTTCGTCCCATCTTTTTCACGAGAACCTCCAAATCTGACATGCACAGGTCTGGTTCGGCACCGTCGCCGGCCTGCTGACGTGCGTTCTCATCGCCGTTGCCATCATCAGCGGAATCCACAGCCTCGGCGCGGAGCAGTTCGCCGCCGCCGAGAGCATCTGGGAGGGCGTCTTCTCCCTCGGCGCCTCCCTCATCATCACCGCCATGGGCGCCGTGCTCCTCCGTGTGACGAAGCTCCAGGACAAGTGGCGTGCGAAGCTGTCCAAGGCTCTCAATGCTACCGAGAGCCACTCCGGCCCCTGGGGTGAGCGACTCAAGTATCTCGGCGAGAAGTACGCCCTGTTCCTGCTACCTTTCATCACGGTCCTGCGAGAGGGCTTTGAGGGTGTCTTGTTCATTGTCGGTGTTGGTGTGAGCATTCCCGCCGGCGCCATTGCTCTCTCCTCGGTCCTCGGACTCGCTCTCGGTGCCTTTGTTGGTTACTTCATCTACAAGTGAGTTTGCCTCGTCACAACTCTAGCCATAATGATGCCCGTGCTGACTCCCCATTCAGGGGCTCCAAAACCGCACCCATCCAGCTCTTCCTCATCGTTTCGACCTGCTTCTTGTACCTCATTGCTGCTGGCCTCTTCTCCAAGGGTGTCTGGCACTTTGAGCAGAACGAGTGGAACAAGATTGTCGGCGGTGACGCCGCAGAGCTGGGCTCCGGGCCTGGCTCCTACGACATTCGCAGGAGTGTTTGGCACGTAAACGTAAGATGGTTCCTTACAGCCTCCTCCCGAATCAACATACTAACGCATAACAGTGCTGCAACCCCGACCTCAACGGCGGCGGCTTCTGGGGAATCTTCAACGCCGTACTCGGCTGGCAAAACTCCGCCACGGTCGGCTCCGTCGTCTCCTACAACCTTTACTGGGTCGCCGTCGCGACGGGCTTCTTCGCCATGATCTGCAACGAGAAGGGCTACTGGCCCTTTGCGAAGAAGGACAAGCACGTGGAGCACGAGGGCGACGACCAAGAGCCTCTCCTCAGCAGGCCCGCGAGGTAAGATCAAGCAGTGCCGTCCTCCCGAATTCCCCGAGAAAGGCGCCTACCTGGAAACAACCTGGATCAGTGCGCCTTGTGATCTTCATTGGAACAGGAGTACATTCTCCCAGAGGCGAACAATTATTTGGATCATGTCGCGGGATGAAGACCGAAGACGCCTTAATGAAGAAAGAATGAAAATAGCATATCTTGTACATACGACTCATGTACATCAGCATACTCAATTTGATTGCATATACCTGACCTGCTTTATAGAATGTTGTCATTTGGGTTTGGTGATGCTCCCTCCGGTTCATCGTCCAAAAGACAGAAAATTGCATGACCTTGGTCACATCTTCAACCAAGCCCAGCGTGAGGCCTCACTTCTTCGCAGGCCGCCCGTAGTATTGCAATTTCTTTCCACCCTATTATTGGACGAGACCACAGGAGGGCCTCCGTTTCTAGTGTACTGTATCAAAACAATCCGTTCCGGAGGTATGAGTTCGGTTTCCGAGCACGACCCCTACTTCTTCGCCGATCACTGCATTAAATCATCTCGCCACATGATCTTTCTCAATGATAACCACTCCCGAGCCTCATCATGGCTGCTTGCTGCTAGCCAGATGATGCAGATCCGCCTCCTCGCCAACCCGGAATCCCTGCTCGGTCGCCAACGTGGCTTTGCGCTCCGCGCCAGCTGTCCCGCTGCCCGCAGCAGGCGACGACGACGACGAAGATTTGTTCAGGATCTCATCCACCCGCGACGGCAACCCCGATTTCGCGTTTGCGGCGTCGATGCTCTCGCCGATGTTGCGGTCAACCGCCGAACCATGGGTATCCTTGGTCTCGTCGATGATGTTTCTGTGACGTGTCAGCCCTCGATGCGATAACGGCCGAAACTTTCACACAAAATTCAATTTCTATCCTGCAAAGAGAATTTGAAGAGCTGATTGGAATATCGCTTACTGCGCTTGGCCGTGCTGGTTTGCGTCCAGAGGTGTTTGGCCGACTCCGCGGTCGCTGGCGTGGCTACCAGGCGCAGGGTTGTTCGGAGCTGTACCAGACATGTTTATTACTGGCGAAGTGATGATAATATTAGGTGAGATATTTGTATGATTGTGGAGAACTGTTACAATTGAATGCAATTGAGGATAAAGATCCAATATTATAGTGAAATAGCTTCGCCCAGTCTCCCTTATGTGGCCTTTCGTGGAAGCCTCATCATTGCTACGTCATGAACATTCGGTGGAGGTCGGTCCGCTGCTGAAACACACGCGACCCTACCGCGTTCGAGTGATTCTGTTCGTCTAAGCTGGCTGAGGTAAGATGTGAGTGCTCATGAGGCAAGAGGCTTTGTTGATCAGCCGATTTTGCCACTTCAGTTTCGACAGTGTCCAACACACTGTAGACCAAATGTTCAAAGATGTTGATGGAGTCAATTTACTACCAATATGTGAGATATGATCCAGGCAGATTTCATAGATTTCTCTAGCTGCGGGTTGTTCTTTTTGAGTACAGGAGCCTAGCTGAATCGGACTCACTTTGGCTGTCTTCTGTAAGTTGCAACTCCACAACAGAAATAAGGAACCTGCTCGATATCTCATCCACTCAAACCGTTCATGGTATCAAGGTAAGATGGTTGCGTCCAATTGGTATTTCCGAGATTGCAGTTAAGAAATTCCAGGCCGACCAGGAGTCATGGTGCCATGAATGAAGTAGGTCACGACACAACGAACAAAACAAAGACAATCGTGAAACAGTCATTTTCAAAGACAATTGAACACCGCTGTATTTTATGTCCTATACATTCTGTATCGTATATACTCCGTAAATTCATACATATGAATGGCCAAAATCAAGTGGTTTCATCCGCTCAGTGCAACGGGGCGTGCTGCAACCCGCGCAGAGAGATGCTAGCCCTCACCGTCGCACCCGATCCAACGTCAAAGGCATCCGCCTTGATCATGCCAGGGGCCTCAAGAATGTCGGAGAAGGGGATCTCGATGGCTCCCGTCTCGTCGGTCTTGTTCATCAGCGCAAGCTTGAAGTTTGACGCGTTGTTGACCATATCCAGCGTCACCGGGATCCTGAACGCGGTGTCGAAGTTGGGGTTGAAGATGTCCATCCCGGGGCTGTACGACTTGATCGGCGTCTGGAACTCGCTCGCGCCCCACGTCACCTTCACGCTGGGGTTCAAGTCGCTGCGGTTACCCTCGAGCCCGAGAGCGCTGGCGATAAGCACCGTCGCGAGTCCGCAGATCTGGCCCTCGCCCTGGCTCTCGGCGGCCTTGAGTGCATCAACTTCAGGTACGAAGTTGAAGAATTGGGCGTGGAGGACGATCTTCGAGCCGGTTGGTTCGCCGTTGTGGATCAGCTCCAGCTCGTGAGTACCGCCTTCCAGCAGAATATCCTTGACCGTGGTGGACGCAAGGCCAATATCATCGTCGCCCACGAGGTCATCGTCATCAACGTCGATAGCGATGACCTGTTCGAAATCCGTGATGAGGAAGTCGTGCGTCTCGTTCCAGACTGGGTTGTGGTCGTTCTTCACAGTCTTGGTGCGCCACATCTCCTCGGCGCCGACGCTCACCTGGCAGAAACAGTCGGGGATGTCCTTGATGATCTTGTCCAGCAGCCTCTTGGCGCCGCTCTTCTTGGGTCCGTTGATCTCGGTCGCCTTGTCGACGGTCAGGCGCAGCACGCCGAGGTGGGGCTGGTATGCCTTGAACCAGTCCAGGTTGCCGTCGAGCTTCACCAGGTAGCGGTTGGGGAGGACGGCCATGGAGGCGATGATGTTGAGGATGACCTTGCGGACGGCCTTCTCGATCAGGAAGCAGTCGGCGATGTTCGCGGCGTGAGCAAAGTCGAGCTTCAGGGTTGGGGGGTTGATGAAGGCAACTTGAGCCGCACCAATCTGAAATCATGTTAGTGTATGCTCCTGACGGCAGATGGACGAAAATGTATTACCAGAGGAATAATGTCGGTCAACGGCGAGAGCAGCACGGAAAGTCTGCCGTGGATGTGAACCTTCTCAATGCCCTGTCGAAATTTAGTCATGCAAATCTTCATCGTAAGTTTGTCGAGCATCTTACCAACTTGGGCACCATCTTGCCCTCCAGATCAATATCACACTGTCCATCCCAGTCGAGGTCCATGTCAAGCTTAATGCCCTCATTGTCGGTCTTGTGCACATCCACTTGAGAGAATCTCATTGGCACATTTCCCAGATCAATCTTGACGAAACGCAGGGTTGACAGAGGACCAGGCAACATTGAGGCGAGCATTGGCTCAACAATCTCCTTTGTCATTCGGCCGGCGGCGATGTTGATATGCGGCCACATTTGGTCCACAATATCATTTAGGAATCCTGGATGAAGTTAGCCAGAGTTCATCGTTCAAACATTAGCCAGTTGAGCAGATGAGTATCTTACCGGCCGATTCGGCGCCCCCCGACGCCTTCAGTCTCTCAACAAGTGGTGTCGCCATTGTCGCCATGATGAAATGGTGTATGAAAATGTGTCTACTGAAAGATGAGGTCGAGAATGTAGTACTGGAGCCTCAATGAAGAAGAGTGAAATACGACGTTGGAAATAAGAATGTGGGGCACCCCGACTTTTGAAGAGGAGGCAAGAAGAACCGATCATGGAGTCCAACCTTGGAAAACACGAAGACATCAGCATGTTTTTGATGCCAAGTAGCCCGCGGGGACGGTCGTCATTCCTTGGCAGAGGGAGCGAATTGACGTCACTTGGCAAAACATGACCCCCCTTGTGCCTCTTCTGCGCGGCGAAACCCCTCTCCCATTGGGGCCCTGAGTGTTTGGGAGGCGGTATAAACATTTGGAGTTCAAACTTCCAATAGGCGTGTGTACGCCAAGCAGGGGCGCGACGCGGTGCGGATTCGCTGCTAAACAAGTTTTTTGGGCGGCGATACACGAACCTACGTAGCCTAAATTGCAGCACCAGTTTGACCAGTTTCGGTTAACTGCGGCCCGCAGGTGGCCACTTAGCCCCTACCACGTAGATTGTTGTAGTTTCAGCTGGCTGACACACCGCTTGTTGACCCTCACATATTCCATCGACAACAAGGGGACGGGACCTGTTTGCATGCCAAGAACGATGACAAGTTGTCTTACCATTCTGCAACAAATTGTATCGCCTTTGCGCCGCTGTCGTATGAGGGGATGTTGTAGAAACACAAAAGAAAAGAGGCAAAGCCCCGAGAGCATGTCTCACTTACCGTCGATGCAACATTTGTTTGGAAAAGTCGCAATGTCAGACAGGTACAAGTGTGATCACTCGAGCATGTTGGGGGGAAACGACGCGTTTCGATAACAACCCCGCGTCAGATAGCAGATGCGGGCACCTCGACCCAACCCCGCCTGCGTGAGGACTTTCTCCACAGATATCTGCACATCTAGGGCCACTTTCAACCTATCAACCTCCATTTTCTCACCTTCAATCTATAAAAGTGGGAGAATATTTCTATTTTATCCCTCTCTTGCTGATCAGACCGATATGCGTGATTGGGCTTGAGGATTACGCGGAGGGTCGGGGAAAGAAAACCAAACAAGACCCAGTGGTAACCTCACGTGGCGAAGACCGAGTGATAAAATGATAACGAAATAAGGGCGCGCGGTTGAGCAAAACTCTATGTGTCTTCTACTTGGTCCAAAGTACGATGGGAAGATGAAAACTTTTAGCAGGATTCGAAGTAAGGGATCATATTCAAATGTTCATCAACGGGCACCTTTGGTCTTTCAAAAATCTGCAATAAGTTGTGCGGATTGGCAGAAGTTCTTTAGAAGACAGACGGACATGTTGAAATGCGATTTTACTTAAGAGCTCTGAGTCGCTTGCTCACATATCAACCAGTCAAGCAATAAAAGAAGAGAGTTTTCTCTTATCATCACGTCAAATATTCCGGCAGTTATTACATGAATAACAGAGCACAGCCTAATGCTTCTCAGAAACGGTACTCGCTGACGTACTGACAGTATTATCAATTGAACCTGTTCAGTGATTTTTCAAGGAGTCAAGGAGCCACCAGACTCTATTTTACAATGGCTGATATCATGAGATATAGTCCATAGACCCAAGGCGAGTGTCAGCTGATGGGTGACTGATGGCTCAAAGAAATGAAATTCGAGTTGTATTCAAACATGATTTCTCATTCGGCAATGCTCAATTTTGGATGACAGCTATCACATAGAGTTCTGGCTCCTGGGGGTTTCTTGTAGGACTAATTGTTAACTATTGTTAACTTGCTCACCAACAACAGCAACAGACCAAGTCAAAACATCTCGCAATCACCTAAAATCCTCAATTGTGCTTGCATGTAATTTCGTTTCCCCAATACTTTGCGGAGAAGAGAACACCATTCCTGAACGTTCGGAAAATGAGAAGCCAATAAGTTCACCAAAATCATGTTTTCGTCAAAATTTTGCGTCCTACGAAGCAGCCTAATTGTCGAAGATCCATAACGATAGGATCACAAGCTAAAAGTCGCAGCGCGAATTTGGTATGACGTTGAGCTGATTGGACAGGATAACTGAACGGGCCGGTTGATGCAGTCTATGCATGAGCAACTAGAATCGATGGTCAAACGACGATATGGGTCGACTTAGTTTCGGAGAAGAAAAAGCAACGATAGATTAATCAATAAAGGGGTCTAGAATGTAGATCATGAGTATCGACGGAGTCTTCGCCTTTGCCTGATAGGTGCAGAGTTGCGCCTCGTCAATTGCCCCATAGGTTGCCGAGAGACTACCCCGGCGATATGCTAGTTTATTTTCGGGACTTGCATTTAGTCACTCTAGTCTGCATCAAGTCCTGCAGTGATGTTGGATTGAATCCAGGTACTCCTTGCAGAGAGAAGGTTTGCTGCAACCGCGAGCGCTTCGGCAAAACGGTCTTTGCGAGCAGGTGTTGATACATTAAATGATTTGGTACTGATGCTTAAAGTCGGCAAGAACGGCACCATAGATAGGATACTTGAGGCACTCGGTTTCGCTCGCATTCAGCAATTTCATCCGTCGGCATTCAAGGTTGGCTCAGGAAATTTCCCTAAGGTCACTTGAGGAACTTATGTCGAAAGTTTCTCCTTTCACTGCCGATCCGCAAGAAATTTGCCCCTTCGAGAAGAATAAGAAGTTCCTAATCACGGAAGCCAAGAGTCATGTATGGGGATCCCAAGATCACCGCCCCCTTACCAGAAAATACGCAGCGAAGGAGCCGTCCGATCTTCGAGTCAGTTCAGACGAACATGAGACATCAGATAAACGCTCCCGCCGAGCCAACACATATGGCGGCAATCAATAGCAGACGGATAGGAGGACTTGCCCGCAGCCCGAACGGGTCGCCCCAGACTGTTCATCCCTCATGCGCCGGTTTCCACTATTTTTATTCTCGACTCAAAACCTTGTCATGGATGGTGGGAGTTGGCAAAAGTGATGAGCCCCGTTCACATATTAAAACCTCCAAAGTCTAAATCGTCAACTCCGGAACACTCGGGCCACAAAGTCTCCCCCTTTCTCTCGGCACCAATCACTCGGGATAGCATAGAGTCGTATAACTCCACAAACAATATCACGATTATGAGGGCGATCGGTCTTCGCGAGGCCGGGATGGGGCTGCTTGCAGATATTGGATCGAAAGTCAGTTCTGTCCGCGGAACTTTCGGTTCAGAACTCGCGAAGATAAATAAGGCTGCCAGTCCGCCGTATTACTCGTGTTGATAGGAGTCCCAGAAGCTGTTTGTCACCGCTCTCCCAGTCACTCTTTTGATTCAATCCGAACACAGACATTCGTTTCAATAAACCATCTCAAGATGAAGAGCTTCAGCACCATTGTCCTTGCGGCTGCTGCCGCCACCGGCGTCATGTCCGCTGCTGTCAAGCAGCCCCAGCCCATTGAGCAGCGTACCACCGGGGCCGACCTCAAGTTGGCCGGTTCCGTCATGAACTCCGCCGCTTTCGACGCCTTCAAGAACACCGAGGTCAAGGTCGCCCCCAACGTCTTGAACTCGCGCCAGGAGGCCGAGCCTGACCCAAACCGTAACGAGACCAACCCCGACGTTGTCTTCTTGCTTCAGTGCGCTGACGCTGTGAGTCCATTAGAATCTTGATTCGTGTCTTTGGATGATTGCTTATTAAAGTTCAGGGCTTCCGTGGTGACTGCCTCGTCTTTGGTGCTCCCCCTGGTTCTTGTGGTAAGTGATGGCGCGATCCCCGGCGAGGTGACATATGCTGATGATTGATTCGCAGTCTCTTTCTTTGACTTCAACGGCCCCAACTCCACTGAGGTTAGCGACCGCTTCAACGACAAGGTTACCTCCTTGTCCACCAACACTGGCGGAAAGTGCCAGTTCTACAAGTACGTCGGCTGCTTTCATCTACCGTATCATTGGATGCTAACAAGAATGTCAACAGGTTCAAGGGCTGCGACAACAAGGGCGACGACCGCGGTCTCACTTCTTCCTACAACTACAACCTGGCCGTTGCTCTGCCTGATGACCCTCGCACTGTTGAGTACGACAACGAGATCACCTCCTGGAGGTGCTAAATCAGTAGCCTCGTACATGAATAGACGAGAGCTCCGGTCTTACAGTAAGCCGAAGGGGGACGTCGGAGATGTTTAGGGATAGTTGAGCACTCAGATAGCAAACAATATACTGGGGCACCGCCATTGGGCGAATCATCATTGTCATGTCTAAATTGTGTTAATTCGACCAAGCCCAGACCCCGCATACTTGTTGTCAAGTGGACTTGGATTGCAAGTGAACATACTTCAGAACTAGCGCATCATCATGAACTCAGACGGACCTAAATATGAGCATAGTCTTGGCAAATTCACCGTCGTTCATGGCTCGTCTTCATGTTCATGTAGCCCAGATACCTTACAAAGAGGTAATTATTATTTGATATTTGAACCTACAGCAACTGCGTGTCATACATGGTATATTTCGTCCGGATAGTATGTGCGATGTGAAGGTCTAAATGCATCATGTAGTCGTAAATGCACCGGAAAACTCACGATAGCTCATCTATCATTTGATGAACCGTTTGTGATAAAGCATCGAGAAGACCAAAGCGACGCCGATAGATCGATTCGGCGTGCAACAGAGGCCTTTGAAGCATGTGACTAGGAGATGTTAGTTTCATGCTTCAAATTTGGGCAAGAAACTTACTCACAGTCATATTAATGGCCTTCTCCAACTCAATCTGATGTGCAATGATTTGACGAGGCACATATAATCCACAACCAGGGAGAATCCAGGCTCACAGAACAAACTTTAAGCAACATTCTACTTCCGAGAGAATGCAATACTGCTTCTTTTCACCGTATCGGAGCGTATCGATTGGGAAGACGAATCAAGCGGACTTGGCTTCTTTCGAGCCATTATCTGATATAGGCACATGTCAAACCAGCCTTCAGAATTCAACCGATATGCGAGGATAAATTAATTCGCAGTCCAGACACAGTTGG